GAGGCTGGGAACAAAAGAAAAAACATTATGGGATAAGAGAAAAAAGCACATGGGGAGAGAGTTGTAAAAACTTAGAAGTCGGAATAAAATTGTTCAGTTTATTCAATTGAAAGTGAGTCGTGAATATATTGTCAGAAGAAACATTTCCGACAAAGATTAATAAAAATAACAATAAATAATCCTTTATTCACCATAATTACAAAAAATTATAACAAAAATGTTGTTAAACTGCTTGAAAATTGAAAAAAAATGTGTTACAATGCCTAAGAAAAATGTAAGAAAAATTAGAGGATACACACTATGATAACAATAATTCACTCTAATCTAAAAAATATTTACAAAGAAAATAATTAAGATAAAACCCTTAAATAATAATAATAATAATCCATTTATATAGTGCCTTTACTACAAGATTCAAAGGTGGTGTTTACAAAAATTTGATAAGGCTAGAAAGTAGAATAATCCCAAGAAATTGACATTAAAATTATATTAGGTACTAACTACTCAATAGATAAATGTACACGATAGATAGGAACTATTTATCGATTCATAAACATCATGACTCATTAGCTCGAATAAAAAGAAATGTTTTAAGTATGTGTTTAAAATCATTAATTGAATTTGGAGATTTAATATCCTCAGGTAAGTTATTCCATGCAAAGTTCCAAAGCAAACACCCAATGAGGTGCATAGCACAGAATGGCAATAACCAATCTGGTGTTTAATAGTTTTGAATATTTTCTGTCAAAAATTTTCAGCTTCCAACATGACACATTGCATTGCGACTCTGAATATGAGCAGATAACCAGAGTTTAGTGAGCCAATCAGAACAAAACAAATGCAATTGAACCAGAGTTAAAAATTGACTAATTCCTAATATTTATTAATTCCAGATTTTATAAGCTTAATTTAAATTGACACATGATGTCACTAAGAGAGAGAGAAAGCTCTACTGGGGTATTCTCCAATCATCTCCCCAACCCCACCCCTACTGATATATATATATATTTTTTTATCTTCGCATATCCCCACCCTAGTACCCTCAAAGATAATCTCAACTTTTAAGTTTCACATTTGCGTAAGATTAAGAAATCAGAGTATCAAACACTTATGTAACATTACCGGAGATGAAGCACATTCTTATGGATACTTGCACGCGTCTAATGAGTCTCAAATATACGTAACTTTGCTAAGAACACTCATGAAAAGAATTTAGTCGAGGCTGTAAAAAGTTGAGAAAAAAAAAAAACCTTGAGATGCGAGTGCAGTCTTAAAATAAAAACTCGCCGAAATCAGGTGACCTACCTCAAATGCGATCCACGAATATGGTGAAATGACATCATAAAACAACTCCACCGTCCTCTTTGCAACCGCCATGTTGAACTGAAGGCTCTACAGTGCGCAGCGGCGTTTTCACAAAAGGAGAATATTCATTTAACTTACATGAACACTTGATCAAAGAAGGTCAAAATGGCGGCGAAACTTGTACGATAGACATAAAATAGTCTACGATGGATGCTTATCTCTAGTTGACAAACGTGTATAGAAAACAAATGAATTTTTAAGGTATAACCTTCGAGCAGAAAAATTTTTATGTTTTGAGGCTAGCATAGGGTGCTTCGTCACAGAGAGATTTTCGTAATTCAGTTATCACCTGGCAGTTCGTTGAATAGTTTCATGTTTCTACGTCGAAAACCTACCTTTGGTCGAGAAGGGAAAAAACTCCACAATGACGCAAGGTTCAAGAATTATTCGTAAACTACGATTTTCAAGACGCTACCTAAACTCCTCCGGATCCTCGTCGAGTATTCTTCGTTGCAGCAGAGCGCCCGTCTTTGCAAGAAGTCACAATTCAGGAACAATTAGCACTTCCAGTCCGAAAGGAACGTGTTCAAATTTTAGTGATGCTTTCTCAGAGGAGAATAAAGACCGCCTTGTTAGGCAGCTTGGAAGAATGAGAATTCCTAAATCTTTGGTGGCAAGGTGTTCAGAGGAGGCTGCTGTATTTGTTCCTTTCTGTCTGGTGAACTCTATACCCTCTTTACTTTTTACCCTTCGTTCAAGTCAGTTGAACAGTCACAGAGGAGAAGTAAGGTCAGTTGCTAATCTCTCGAGGTCGTGTCCCTTAACCTTTCAACTCACAAGATCTGATTGTTAATTCTCCCCTCTAGCTGTCACATATTTCCTTTTAAATCAGTTATGAGTTTTTAATGTTAGATCCAGGCTAATATATTCTTGAATATATTCGCTCCACATTTCGAGCATAAATAAAGTATATGTATGTATGTATGTACTTTAACCTGATTAATCTGAGTATTCTCATTGCCTGTTTGCTGGATATTGTGTGGGTTTGATAGGGAGAATTTATAAGTTAATCACCTCTGAGGGTTTAAGGGGTTAATTTTATTTCATTTTATTAATTAGTAAATAATAATGATTGGTTAGTGCTGAAGGGATAGACTCTCCCTCTACTGTGGCCTGCATTAGATTCTCTGACATAGAGTCACCCTTTCATGTATATGCAGGGGCTTCATTAATGTTTTCTGCAGGAGGGCAACTGGTTTTCACAGGCAGGCAAAACTCTTTGAACTGAACTCCTTTATAAGATAAACTTTCCTCTAGACTGTCAAATCAGGTGGGCAAAACCGTCCTCACAACCGGTCAATTTGCCCGGTGCCTTTCCCTTAATGAAACCCCTGTATATGTGTTTGCGGTTAGTTCTTGTTTTTGTACAGGTTCTCTGGTTTTTCTCACCTGCTGCACCTCCTTGTAGAACTGCCTCTGCTAAATTCCTTTTATTTTCCTTAATTTTTTCCTTTTTTATATGTGTCTAAGGGCTTCATTATGTATTCTGAAGCAAGGCTGTTCAACCAAGTTTAGTAATTTCAGCTTAGTAAGAAATCTGATATTAAGTATCAGTTCATTTAAATCAACTTAGGGTTTACTGTTTTTCTTGATTCATGGCACAGCTCAGGTATGATTCTGTGATTTAATGAACTCTTTTGATACTTCGATAATTTTGTAGTTTTCCAGGTGGTAAAAGAGATCCTGAAGACAATAGTATGGTAGACACAGCCGTGAGGGAAATGGAAGAGGAATTGGGACTGGAGAGAAGTCGTGTTCAAGTCTGGGCTCAGATGCCAGCATTTCCAGATCGGGTATCTACATTGATGTGATTAATATTTAGTTGTAAATTGCAACGATAAATTTCATATCTGTGGTCCAACCAGATCGCAAGGAGTGGTGGCCTCATGATTAGAACACTCGACTCCAGATTAACCAGTCAGGGTTTGAGCCCTGGCAGGGGACATTGTGTTGTGATCTTGGGCAAGAAACTTTACTCTCACAGTGCCTCTCTTTCTCCTGGTGTTTAAGTGGATATCAGCTAGTTTTATGCTGGGGGGTAACCCTACAATGGAATGGTGTGCCATCCAGGGGGGAGTAGAAAATTAATACTCCTAGTTGCTTCATGTGATGAAAACTGAAGTTTAAAGCACTGGCCTGATGGGACACTCTATTAGCTTGTACACAGACTTTCCCCTTATCTTTTTCCAACCGGACATACTCCTCGGTGTGTCACCTTGTTTAGGGCAGATATATTACTAATTATTATAATAATAATAGTTTCAAGAGGTAACCCTTGAACTCTCATGAGTGACCAAGACAGAATTTCTCCTTACAATATCAATTATGATATTAAGCATACAAGTGATGAGAATTGAGAAAAATATTAATTAGGGGATCATCTATTGATCCAATACCAAATTCTCTACACTAACTTCATGCAAATTGTATGACAGACAACTAAAGGAGATCGAATTACTAATTGACATCTTGGAAGCAAAAGGGTTAGACTCAACTAGGATGCCACACATATATTTATTAGTTGTTTTGCTATAAGTGAAAGTTGCTGGCAGGAACAAGGAGCCCGTTGCGAGATGACAGCAGTGTTAAATATACCCAATTGTAGTGCTGTAAAACACAAAAATCTTATCATAGTAAAACTTTATCATAGGTTGGTAAAACAGCTGTCACTCCCGTCATTGGCTTTCTTGGAGAAATTGATTTGAATTCACTTAAATTGAATCCAGAGGAGGTAAGAAATCAATGATCTAAGAATAAAAATATTTTTGTAAACATTTTTTTTTTAATCATTCACAAAATTCAATCTCAATTTATTGAATGGGGTAAAATATTTTTACCATCTGATAAGAGCTACCTTTTTTTATTCCATTTCATACTATCTATTGTGGATTGGATAATTAACCATATGAAAAGTGGAGAGGTTGAATTGTTCCATCAAAAATGTTTTTGGCTTTACCGGTACTTTAGGTGATCCATCCTAACGCTTTCTCCCAGAAAAGCATGTTATCCTTACTAAGCACAAGTGATCAGACAGAATAGAAAAAGGTATTACTAAGAACCTTTTAACTCCCAGAGGTGATTTGCATGTAACTTCTCCCTACCATATCCTTACTTTGTCCAGCAAACAGGTAATGAGAATTATTACTCAAACTTATCAACTAAAGTAGAAGTTATAATCTTAATTGATCCAACACCAAATTCTCAGAATTAATATTTATGGCAATGTGAAGCAACTTAAGAGAGGAGAATTAACAATTAGATCTTGTGAGTGAAAGGGTGAGCGCTCTAACTACTAAGAGTGACTAGCATCTAATTTCACCTTACAATATCACCCTTGAATCACTTGTGATGTTAAAAAGAAGAAAGGACATGATATGCGCACCTTCTAGAGAAGCTCTTGATTGTTATAAACAAATTCTCCTTGTCAACATCTAAGCAAATGTATAGAGAACAGTTTGGAGAATCTGCATTCTGATGTTAGGGAGTAGAAGGTTAAATTTCTTCAACAAATGAGATGTTACAACATCAAACTCTCTCAACTTAGTTATTAGGTAATTCCAGGGAAATGTGGAGAGACCAGAAAGGAGAAAAAAAATTGAAATGAGTTCTCAAGAACCAAAGGCTAATTTATAATAATTTTTCCTGTTTTAAGGTGGAATCTGTCTTCACTCTTTCTCTGGCACACCTCTGTAGTCCACAAAATCATGGGTATACCAAGTTTACATCTCAAGCTGTCTATCCATTGTTTCTTAACGGACCTCACAAGATTTGGGGTCTCACTGCTATAGTGCTTGAACAAGTGCTACTTATCACTGTTCCAGAGAGCTTTCAAAAACAGTTTTTCAGGCCAGTAAATAAAACATTATATACAGCAAGCATGAAGGAGTCTGGAAAGAAGGAAAGTGATTGAAGAAAGCCTTATATACACACTGTAAGGTCGTAAGCTTATTTTACAAATTAAATAGAATACAAAAACAAAACAGAAAGAAATGGTAATCAAAAGAGAACTCAACACTGCCAATACTTTCTTTGTGAAAGGTGCTTTTTTATTTTTAAAATATATTACCAAACATTTTTGTTTCATAAATTGTACAAATCATCAAGTGACCTTTTACAAAAACTACTGCTAATGGTAGGTGTGTCTAAGATAAATACATGGCTGGTTTTCACAAAATGACTCAAACAACAAGCTCGATAAGTTGACTATCGTGCAGAATTACAGAAAAATGTTAAAATGTAGTTATAACAGTAATTAAAAAATCTCACATTTCTTTAATCTAAAGAAGAGAGTCGGCAACTGCATAGTATTTCTAATTTCAAGTCTGCATAACAGTCATTACATAAATTGACCAATCAGAGCGCGCGCTTTACTTTGGTTATGTTATAACAGTAATTGAAAAATCTCACATTTCTAAAGAAGAGAGTCGGCAACTGCATAGTATTTCTAATTTCAAGTCTGCATAACAGTCATTACATAAATTGACCAATCAGAGCGCGCGCTTTACTTTGGTTATGTTATAACAGTAATTGAAAAATCTCACATTTCTAAAGAAGAGAGTCGGCAACTGCATAGTATTTCTAATTTCAAGTCTGCATAACAGTCATTACATAAATTGACCAATCAGAGCGCGCGCTTTACTTTGGTTATGTTATAACAGTAATTAAAAAATCTCACATTTCTAAAGAAGAGAGTCGGCAACTGCATAGTATTTCTAATTTCAAGTCTGCATAACAGTCATTACATAAATTGACCAATCAGAGCGCGCGCTTTACTTTGGTTATGTTATAACAGTAATTAAAAAATCTCACATTTCTAAAGAAGAGAGTCGGCAACTGCATAGTATTTCTAATTTCAAGTCTGCATAACAGTCATTACATAAATTGACCAATCAGAGCGCGCGCTTTACTTTGGTTATGTTATAACAGTAATTGAAAAATCTCACATTTCTAAAGAAGAGAGTCGGCAACTGCATAGTATTTCTAATTTCAAGTCTGCATAACAGTCATTACATAAATTGACCAATCAGAGCGCGCGCTTTACTTTGGTTATGTTATAACAGTAATTAAAAAATCTCACATTTCTAAAGAAGAGAGTCGGCAACTGCATAGTATTTCTAATTTCAAGTCTGCATAACAGTCATTACATAAATTGACCAATCAGAGCGCGCGCTTTACTTTGGTTATGTTATAACAGTAATTAAAAAATCTCACATTTCTAAAGAAGAGAGTCGGCAACTGCATAGTATTTCTAATTTCAAGTCTGCATAACAGTCATTACATAAATTGACCAATCAGAGCGCGCGCTTTACTTTGGTTATGTTATAACAGTAATTAAAAAATCTCACATTTCTAAAGAAGAGAGTCGGCAACTGCATAGTATTTCTAATTTCAAGTCTGCATAACAGTCATTACATAAATTGACCAATCAGAGCGCGCGCTTTACTTTGGTTATGTTATAACAGTAATTAAAAAATCTCACATTTCTAAAGAAGAGAGTCGGCAA